GACAAAGATTTGTCCTGACTGTGGGCAAAGCAGGAAAACTCAAGCTACACAAGGTCACCTAAAAAGGGACTGTAAACAGGGCATTCCTAGAAAAAATGTTTTTTCAAAGAACAATGGCAACAGAATGCCCCTCCCTTCTGGATTATGCAGAAGGTGTGGCAAAGGCAAACATTAGACTAATGAATGTAGATCAACAAGGGACAGACAAGGTAATCCTTTGCCTTTGCTGTCAAGAAACTCCCTGAGGCACCTTTTGTAGGCCCCCACGACAAACTTGGTTTAGTCCTTTCCTGTTATGCTGGAAGAAACCCCTTCCCAGAGCAATAAAGAGCCTAATGCCTATTATAAAACAAACAAACAAACAATATCCCATACTGCTCTGGATGATAGAACAGCTATAGAAGAGAGAACAAAAAATTCAGGAGAAACCATAAATCAACATTGAAAAAGATTAGATTGGGAACCTCCCCAAAGTTGTGGTCGGGGAAGGGTTTTGTTTTTGTCATTCAAGAAAATTGAAACAACCATCTTGAAGAATTTAAAGTCATTGGAACAGATAAGCATCCAAAGAAGAAGAGAGAACTACCCAGAAAAAATTACCAAGGAAAGGAATAATCTGACCCACGTAATCTTTGAAGTCTTTAAAAAGATAATGAGACCCCACAACCACAATTTCATCAGGATGATGATGATACCACTAAGATGACAAACACCATCCAAAGGTCAGCTTTGGACTACAAACTGCTCAGGACAATTTGGAGATGATTAGCTGAGATGATCCAGTCTCACAGACTACTAGAGCAAGAACTTGAGACAAGCCCTGAACTTTTCCATTATACAGAGACTGGACAACAAATGATATAGCTACCTCTCCCAGAACTTGACAATTAACCCAAAATTTTTCTTTGCTGGGTCCTCTTAACCCTAAGAGAGCAGGAAGTAATTTTAAGAACATGAGGCCCTTATTCCCAAGAGGTAGTGTTTGGTCTGTCAATGGGTTATGGATAATTGTCATTGTTTAGGAGGGTTGGTTACAATTTGTTAATTGTTAATGGTCAGGAATGAAGCTGAACAAAGGAAATTAGATTTGGGGTTCTTGTTTAAAAAAAGCAAACAAAACAAAAACAAAAAACAAACAAACAAAGAAGATATAGAAATGATGGATAAAGGGGAGATTATTGAATCTACCCTGAAAAGATAAAAGAAGAGGATATAGATATAAGATAAAAAGATAATTATTGATTCTACTTTTAGAAAGCAACTACTAGTTTTAAATATTTTACATTGGATTAGATTTTTGTATATTGTATACAAATTTTGTATAGTGATACAAAATTGAGATAAATTTTGTTAGAATATACTGTACATATATTTCTACTCTTGTTCAAGGTATTGTACCTATACAGCTCATTTAACAATGTAATGCAAATTGCTAGTTCTTGAAAGTTATTATTACCAACTAATTAGGATAGAAAGAAATGCAGGTTAGTTGTTAATCACCCATTTCAATGTCAGGTTAGGTATGTTTTCAAGGTTAAACAGATATATTTTAGATAAACAGATCATCTTCAAAACTTCAGAGATCTACAAGATATGGCATTTAAGATGTTTTAGTAACATAGATTCTTTTTTTTTAAATTTTATTTTATTTTACAATACCATTCAGTTCTACATATCAGCCAAGGGTTCCCCTATTCTCCCCCCTCCCACCCCCTCCCCTTACCCTCAGTCTACCCCCCATTCCCACCTCCTCCAGGGCAAATCCTCCCCTGAGTACTGCGATCAACCTGGTAGACTCAGTCCAGGCAGGTCCAGTCCCTTCCTCCCAGACTGAGCCAAGTGTCCCTGCATTGGCTCCAGGTTTCAAACAGCCAACTCATGCAACGAGCACAGGACTTGGTCCCACTGCCTAGTTGCCTCCCAAACTGATCAAGCCAAT